CCCGGCTTCGCATGGTACAACAGAAAGATGAAGCCGTTTCGAAACAACAACGTAGAGCTATGGCTCAACTTCTAGAGACCGGAAAGATAGAATCTGCAAAGATTCGAGTCGAGAATATCATTCGATCAGATATCACAACCGAACTCCATGAAATACTCGAGCTCTATTGCGAGCTACTCCTTGCGCGAACTGGACTCATGGAATCGTCGGTTTGCGATGCGGGCTTGGAGGAAGCTGTTAAGAGCTTGATATATGCTGCGCCTAGAACAGAAATTAAGGAGTTACAACAAGTGCGCGCTTTATTGTGCGAAAAGTACGGAAAGGAGTTTGCGTTGCAAGCGATGGAGAATAGTGATGAGAAGGTCTCGGAGAAAGTGTTAAAGAAGCTATCTGTCACACCACCGGCCCAGGAATTGGTGAATGGATATTTGGAGGAGATTGCTAGAACATATGGAGTTGACTGGCCAAAAAGACCAAAGGAAGATCTTGGAGAAGCCCCAGAATTTGTGGATGATGACGATGATGACGAAAATCCGAGTGGTGGACAGGCACAAAAGAACCTGGAGGCGCCGCTAGCAGCGAACGGTAAGGCTGACGAAGAGAGAGAGGAGTTGAGTAAAGCCACCCCACCAAAGAATTTCGGGCCCTCAAGCCCACTTAGGGTCAATCCACCAAGTCCTCGTACAGACAACTTGCATCCTAGGGTTCGCGGAGCTCTAGACCTGAAGCCAACAAAGAAGATGCAAACTGCGGCTGCATCAAAACCTGGCATTCAAAGCAAGGGTCCAGTTGGAGGTATGATACCGGATGTGGATGAGTTGGCGGCAAGATTTGCAGCATTGAAGAAATGAGTAAGGTTATAGAATATTGCAACGGCGGCGGAATCAGGAGTTGGAGAGCATATTCAGGCAGGCATAGGGATTTATTTTTATTTGGCGTCAATCTATACCACTATTCAGATGCTGTGTGATTTTATCCGGGGTCACGATCATGGCCACTGTAGGATAGAATTTAATCATAGAAACGTTTATCCATTAACAACCTAGTCTCCCAAGTCTTTTCTGAGGTAATCTGCCGAGATCTTCCTTCCAGGCCTTCCTGAGATTTTGAAGCAGTATCGAACTTCGGTCTCCTTTCTTAGGCTTCTCTCTTTTTCTGATGAAAGTCATGCAACAAGGGCTTAATATTTCCATCGTACCCACTCTTCCTCATCCATTCGCCCACCGACTTGATCCTTCCCGGCCAAATTTCATCCATCAAAGCCCAATCCTTTCTTACCTTGCCACTCTTCCAAAATCTCCAGAACCCACCAAAATTCTCCCGATACGTTTGCAATGTTCCTTCATCCCCGGGAGCACTGTGCCCAAACTTCGCATCCGGATCTGGGAAAAGGCCAAGATCAAACCATCCATCAACCGTCACATCTTTATACACCGCCTTCTTCCCGGTCACTTCAGTAAAGGCAGCTGGAATATCTGCCCAAACAACTTCTTGAGAAGCAACATGGAGATTAAGTCCATTGCTACGATCGGGATGATCGAACACCCATCTGGCATATTTTCCAAAATCCTCTAAAGCAATCAACGGCGCACTTCCTCTTGGTCCCAAGGGCGCAATAAAAGCCAAAGTCTCAGGGTCGTCCTTATCAGGATGAGGAGCCAAAAGCTCATTCAACATTTCCATATACAAACAGCTAGTCAAGATGCTCCACTTCATCTTCTCCTTATCTTGCACACTAATCCAATCCGCAACCTTAGCTTTCGCATCCATATGACCATCTCTATAATCATTATCGAAATCGGAGATCTTGAGTGAATACTCAAGACTGGAGTACAAGAAATGTTGCAACTTGTGTGTGCGTGCGATTTCGTAATAACGGATGCCCCAATAGATCTCACCTTTTTCGCCAATGGCACCGCCATTTGTGTTGATGAAGGCGTGGGTGCATCCAGAGAAGAATTTATGGAGGTCATGCTCGGAGTAAATATCTCCTTCGACGATGGTTACCCTTGGAAGTTGTGCCAATTCTTGCGCGTGTGGAGAGTTGGCACTTCGAGTTACGAGGCGAATGTTGTAGGCGCCATCTTGAGCTAGTTCTAAGGGAGTGTTAGTGTATCTTAGGGGATTATCGATGGATATCATGGGAATTTACCTTTCACAACGGGCATGCCTTGGACGCCTGTGCCTCCAATGACAAGAACAAGGGGTTTTGTAGAAGCCATTCTGTTTTCAGCTTAGAAGTTGTAGGTTCGGATGGTTGTTGAAATTGTTTAAATATCCTAGACTAAATGAATTGAGTGTTCTGGTATTTATTTATATAAAGTCCCCCCAGAAAGTTTTCCAGCGACAAAAACCCCCAACATATACCCTTCTCTATATCACTAATCATGTTCTATACCTCCCTCCTTCTCGGCGCAAATATCTAATCACCCATGCGTCGATTGTTGCATCATCTGCATACCTCGCATCAACCCGCAGAATATTTATTAATCCTTTACACCTCACTCATATCCATATTCTCTTTTCCCGCGCAATATCTTTATCCAGAGCGCCATAATCGAGGTGCTGATTTAAGCGAGCCCTTTTAGGAGTCAATGATGAGAATGAATAGTAATCATGCAACAAAAGAGAATGCTTACTCCGCAACAAGCATAGAGCCTTTGTCGGCATTAATGTGGTCACTTCGGATTATTGGATGAGAAGGATTCGGTGCCTTGAAAGATTGTAGGTTGCACTGGTACTATTTCTGATGATTAGTTAGTATTAGATTTCTTCCAAGTGCGGGAACGCAGGTATAGGAATGCGGATTACAAGCATCGACTATCTAATCGATTGGTAATGTGTTTTTCTGACAATGTGTAGTCTGAGTGAGCATAAGGAGAGAATATTAATCAAGAATAATCAAAAATCCGGAAACGATTTCAAGACACCTCAAATGCGTCACAAGAGTGTAAGACTACCCGTGGACTACTATACATCTTCAATTTGACTTATGTTCAAGCAGGAGAATACCACATATCATTCTAGCTGCTAATACTTTAGCTCCTAAATCTAAAGAATCTGACATATTAACACGATTTCACTATACAGAAACTTCTATCACATCCTTTACCATGTCAACCCAGTCAGCGGAAAAGATAGCAAGTATCATTGAGCGTAATTTGTACGTGAAACTGCTATCAGAAGTTTACACATCCAACATGCTAACAACTTAAACTTCGGACATTACTCCAAGACCATGCATGTTAAACCACCACTACTCAGTGTTTGCAATAGAGAAGAATGAATCCCTCGGAAGACGTGGCACAGTGATTGGTAAAGTTTCTTCATTTACTCAAGATCAAATTTCATCTAGGCTCTAACTTCACTCACAGTTTCATGCGCCGATCCTCGCATTACTCCTGAGAAATTCCTTGATCTTGAATTTGCCGGTATTGTCTTCTCTTCACTTGAAGCTCTTCGAGTGTTTGAAAGTTAATATACTCTATAGAAGCAGCCATCGTCCGCAATGCAGGAGGACGTGCTCGTCCAGCTCTATCCAGCCTTCTCGCCCTCGATAGTCTTGGTAACACAGGCACTATCATTGTGATTCATCATACAGACTGCGGAATGTCTCATTACTCAGAATCTGAATTTCAGGACAGATCGAAAGCAAAGCATCCTGAGATTAATCTCCATGGAGAGGAATTTGGTGCTATAGTGGAGTTAGTGTTTTCTATTTCAGGTTCTTGCGGATGGATTGAATGTAATAAGGTTATAATAATCAAAGAAGAGTACTAACGAAACAAAAATTAGTCCCGAGAAAACAGTAAAGGAAGATGTGGAGTATCTGAAATCATTTGAGAGTTGGGGAAAGGCAAATGTAGAAATCTTGGGATTGGTCTTAGACACATTTTCCGGAGTTGTAAGAAGAGTGGTCTGAGTTGATAGTCGAGAGATGAGCTGGACTAGTTAACTGTTACCAGTGAACTGTTTTTCCAGGCAGTTGGAACATGTTTTGTTGTATTGCATTCAATGCAGCAATCTTGAGTCAGAATCAAAAGTATAATTTCTCTACATGTAGAATTTCTGATCCCCAGAGTACAAGACTGGCATGTTACATACACTACATGTCGTTTCAACTGAATCGCAAGTACCAAACACTTTCTTCAAATGATTGAAGTGAATCATTGCGAACGCGCTCCTTGAATTTTTCTCCACGTCTTCCAGAAACTTCAAAGTAGTTTGAATTTTGATGATGATTTTTGCATGGCTTCAATAACTGATAATGAGTAAGTCTATCATGTTGTCGTTGCCCAATTGATTTTGCTATGATCGACTGACTTCCTGTACTATGAGTCCACTACCCCATTCATCATTCACTCACTCATAACCACTTTGCGAAATTTATATACTCAGCCTATACCTCCATCTCATCTCGTCTCGTCTCATCTCATCTTACCTTCCTCATTCACTTCAAAATCCCCACTCCACAACATCCACAAAAAGCAAAAGCAAAATACCAAAAGTTGGGCCACTCGGCTTAATCTATCAATGTTCACTGGTTCAGTGTCCCGTAATATTTCTGCTAGTGAAAGGGTCATATTATTTGCACTCGTTAAGTGAACATTGGACACCTAATCATGTCTCTCATGTCGAGTAATACACTATACCACTACGCCATGAGTGACGTTTTCGGATATGGGGAGGTATGGGTTTAGAGTAATACCTTGGAGTTGGGCTGGTTGGGCTGGAGATGGATAATCATGCTTTTGGTCATGGGAAAGTCCCTTGCAGGATGTCTTACTTCATCGTTCAATGCATTAACATTCATCTCGACAGTTCTTAGTATTTCTCTGGCTGTGTGATTGTTAAATGCGTCAAGTTAGCTCTGTGCTTCAGATTCTTCAGTACACGGGATAATGCCTATAGTATGCAATCATACAAATCTCATGTCGCCGTGGTTTAGCTTTCGATTCCTGAGTGCGGGTTTCGAAGCTTTCCCTTCTGACGATCAAAGTGATTGTTTGATATGGTTTCGCTTATCGCAATCTTCTTCTCATCTCAGGATCTGACTCAAGCTCAAGCTCATGATTATGGCACAAAGGTTTTAGGCTGATCAGCCAGAAGAATGCAGTAGATGGCGATGGATTGATGATAATATATCAAATCAGCGAGTGGTACACCTAGTAGCCGATAGATCTTCATTAATCTGCATCTTGAATAGTCCTGACAAGAAAAATTATTGCCACATTCCAGCGATAGCACAAGACCTGGATTTAAGTTCCGTTCACCAATCACCCTTCCTATGTCATCCGCATTGAAGTGCTTTTCTAATATCAGATCCCGTGAAACTTGATTAATAATCCTCCCAAGCCCCAGGTATCCCTCTCTCTGGATGATCAACTAGTTCCCAGAAACCCCGGAAGTTTGCGTAGTAGTCCCGCCTCGGTTCGTCCAATGAGTACCAAAATTTCCAATCATCAACAGCTGGTCCATAGACAAAGCTTATCAGATGTCCCGTCTCGTAAATACTGTGATATTTCCCATTCCTCATCTTCCTCTTTCCCTTTGCTTTGAAGAGCAACAACCATTCAGAGGTATTATCCACGAAATGGTCATGCTCTACTTTGCCGTATTTCAGTAGATCAGTGCCAGAATCGTGCAGTATCTCGAGCCAGAGTTGCACAGGAACTGGGCATATCCCTGAATAGGGTAAAACGTGAGGGTAAGTCCAAATATTTCCACTCAACGAGCAAGGTAGAAGACCTCCGCGGAAGACCTCTGAACCATTGGCAATGAGGCGCTCTATCAACTCGATTGATGTAAAACATTCTGCATTTGAAAATCGACCCCTCGGTCCAAATTCTGCTTTCCTAGCTATCAGCTGAGTTGAGTCGGAGCACATAGTCGAGTCTCTATTTCTTCTAAACCAACTAGACATGACACTTGCAACGTAACCAAGCTCAATTGATAAAAAAGTTCTGCCAATATATTCAGGGCGGTTTCCAAAAACCATCTTGCAGCAAACTTCGTTCAATTGGTCTCCGTGAAGCATTAGTGATATCATACCAGCTGTACTACAATCCCGAGTAAAGTTACAACAAACTTTCAGTGCGAACATCATCCTCTCCTCGAAACTCCACTCTTTGAATGTCGGATCAATTTTATGAAGCAGCCAAGCTAAAATATCAGGATCAACCATGATGTCCCAACTATTTTGCAGTGGATTATGAATCTCAGATATTGGATACAGTAGCTGCACCACACTGTTTCGAGAGGAGTTTTTGTAGGAATGGCGGCAAACACTATATGATAATGCAGATCTACCTCAACTAGTTATTTAAAGCCGTGTATGATATGAAGGCCAGAGTACGTACGTCATGGAAGAGTCATTCGGGTCTGCTCCTTGATCAAGTAGAAGACGGCACATATCATAATATCCATGCATACTAGCTATCTATGAAAATTAGACTGTTACATTTCTTGGCAAAAATGGGATGATTACGTACATCAAGTAATGTAATACCACGGGAGTTTCTATCGAATGGGGTGGCTCTTTTGCTCTGCAATAATACCTGGAGTCCGGATAAATCTCCTTTAAATAAATATTTCCAAGTTAACGAATCACGACCGACTGTATAGTATTGTCGGAAGTTGAATGTCCACCCTGAAGGTGCTTGAAACCCAGAGAAATCCCAAGTATAGCCCGAGGATGAAAACAACTGAGGAGTGCTGAACTTCTTTTGAAAGTACTTAGCCTGCTTATCAAGCTTATCTCGTGTTCTACTTCTCATGGGTCTCTTCGTCTCATAATCATAAACCACAGTATCGCGCGATTGAAGCAGGGTACTAGACATTACATTGGCGGAACGGGTAATGGAAACTTTTAGCTCCTCGAATCCTTGCAGCTGACGATCCGCATGACTTTCAACTGCCTCTATTTGAAGCTTGTGGTATTCCATTTGGAGTGCGTCCGAGTATGTCTGCCGAGAAAGCATAAGCATATATTGCGCATCCCTCAACCGATTCCGAAATTTATCGAGTGTGTCTTTCTTCAACACCACTTTCGCGCTGCCAATCTTGCGTCGCTTGGAGATAGCCACATTAAGGTCTTTCACTATTGTATTGAGAATATCCGTCCCACGGCGACAAAGCTCTAGGCACTTTGTGACCGTAGCCGAAGGAATCGATGGCAGATTTGAATTAGATGTGTGGATATCGGAAAGAACCAGACTTAGTGCATCGAGCTCTTCAAGGGCATATTGGATATCTTCGGGAGCTTCTTTCACCTCGTCCCAGAATCGTTTCAATTTTCTAACGCCGTCCATGAGCTGAAGCCCCAACGAGGCTACGCCCATGCCACTGGCAATGATGCCAAATTCTGCCATGAGTATGGTATTGAAAGACAAGATCTGTTTCGAAGCTCGTGAAATAATTATGTTTTGCTCGAAAGGAAGTATGATATAAATTGAAATCAATTGCGAGAACGAAAAGACATTTCGAGGACGAGCCCGAGGACTGTGTCGTTTCGCGACGTGGGATCAAAAGTAAGCACAGCCGCATCAACAGAGTACTCGGCCAATCCCAACTACAGGAATCTATGTGGCAGTGTTCTCATGCTTGCCATTGGCATAGAAAAAACTGACTCCGCCTACAACCGATTTAAATAGCCTAAGTTCGAATTACAACCCATCAAATTGATGATAACACCAGATAAAACCGCCATCAAAATCCTCGCGATGTCAAAGTGATATGCTCCTCTCATGCGACAAGGTGGGACTTTAATTTCAAATTTGGTCTAAATTCGTGCAACAATACACGTACCTATCCTTTTAGTCCTACAAGCCTTGGCTCTTAGAAATACACCCTGAGCAAGTATAGAGATCATGAACTGAAGGTATCATAATGTAATTTTCCACGTCTACATTTATACCATTTCCAAATTCTAAATCATATCCTCAAATTTCGACCGAATAGGGCTTGCCCTCTTCCTCCTCAACTCCAGCTCCCTTCTTGCCTTCACTTTAATTGCTCTTCTTTGACTCAGTGACCTTTGTCTTTCAATTCTCAAAGCATTCGGTGCAGCAGGATGTGGAGATCGCAAAAGCGATGTTCTCTTCGCTACATCCCTTGCTGTCTCCTTGAACTTGATTAGTCGTATTCTTCTCGCACCTGATCCGTTATGCTCCACCCCTTTTTCTCCTGTCTGTACCGATCGCGAATAATAATTCACGGTGCCTATCATAGCCTCGGCTTTTAGTTCTGCCTTCATCGCTTTCCTCCGAGCTAGGAAAGATGCTCTCATCGCATCGCGCTCTTTTCTTTGACGCTCCGTTGCTCTCAGATTTTGTTTCCTTCGCTCCCAACGTGTCCTCAATGTTCTCTTTCGCTCCAAACGACCAGCCAACATGGCTCGCCCGCGTGCTTGATAACTAAGTCTTTCTTCAATCCTTCGTGCTTTCCTATCCTTTTCTTTCTGTCTTCGTGCCAATTTCACCTCCGTAAACATTGATTTTAGACCGCCCTCACGCGCATTGATTTCCCTTTGTCGTTCAAGAACGTGATCGAAAGATTTGCCTTCTTTTTTCAAGGTTTCGATCTCTCGCTTATCTTGGGTCAATCTCCAGTTCCTATCTTTTTTCATCTCCTTTCCCCTGTGAATTACAAATTCATGAGTTCCTTTCATCTGAGCGATATTATCCCTAGCAAGTAACACCAGTTCCTCTTGCTGACGTGATGAATTTCTCCCTACAACCCATACAAGCTCTCTTCCATTACTCCAAGGCTTTATATTGATCCGGGAACTACTAGGCAATTGGCTTTGAATGACTTGAGGATGTAGAGCCAAGCCACCGGGCATCTCCATCATCTTTTGAAACATCTCATCTTCGCTGAACTTGAGATTTTTCGCGAAATGTATGTGAAACTCTGCATTGTAATTGCGTGTTTCTAAAAAGTAATAAGCTTTTGCCAACATCACGCTCAGGTTATCGCCCGTAACATCCTTTGTCAAATTTATAAGTTTCGCATTGCCACGACCTCCTTTAGTTTTCATTGCTTTCCCGGGCTTTGGCACCATGAAAGATTTTCGTTTGATCAAAATGTATTCGTCAACGTTGGTCGCTCCCAGATCATGAAGACGTTCAGCTATCTTCTTCAGCTGATGACGCTCTCCCCTTGAGATATTTTGGAACCCAGTTCTAGGCACCAGCATCCAGCTCGTCCCTTCTCCTGGGTCCAATAATGCTTCTTCTCTTTTGCACAGGTAGTCTTTCATCACATCGCCTATCGTCATTACGCCAATAAACGTGTGTGGCTTGCTGTAGGGCTTTTTATCCGCTTCTACCCATAATATAATCTTTTGCGATTGATAATCTGTTTGAGAAAAGAGTGATGTCTTGACATAATCCAGAATTTTATGGTTATCGGCTTGCAATTTACCATGTTTTGTCCTTTCTGCGATTCGTGACAACATAATATGGCGACATTGTTGTGGAAGGCGAAGTAGGATGGAGCGGCGCAATGAATTCGTAGATGACTGCTGGGTTACTGGGTGGTAGAACGGGCGTACTGAGGTATTGGATATCTTTTCATTGAGATAACGCAATAGAGGGCGTGAGGGGATGAGTTTAGTAGTACTCATGACTATGAACTTGATGATTTGTGAACTCTAATGATTTGACGTTCTTATGGAATTGTTTTAAACCGTTAAAATTATACACCGCCTTCTTTTAAGAAGATGAGTATTTGACCGCTCACGTGCCTAGTCTGACACAAATGTTTTGTTGCACATCTGATTTTTTCCTGTCCTCTCTCGTTGAAGAAATGTTCAGATTTCTTCTCTTGTAACTTCTTGATTAATCAGCATCTAGCAAGCATATTTTTCAGTCTGACCTACGTAATACTTATCCCCGGTGATGTCAATCTTAACTTCTCGGCTTCCGATTACTGATCATGATCAGATACGGAGTAGAGACATAAATACAAAACCTCCGAAGTGGATTAATGGGACAATATCATTCCGAGGTTTATAACGGTTCCACAATGGATTTCTAAGCTTGACGATATAAAGTTGTATATCGGAAAAGAGTTTTTGGCAGGAATATTGATCTTTATTCTCCGACTTATTAGTAACGTGGCCGGTTTCGTCATCTTGTGCTTTGTATGGAGCCCTCGAAAAGGAGATCAGGTATATATATGTGTCAAGTAGGCCCATCATGTAGGACAGTTTTTTTCAATTAAAGTTCAAATTATATTATCAAAAATATAGAAGGATATCAAGCGTCAAGAGAAGTAGTTTTCTTCATTACTTGTTATTTCCATAAGTCAACCTTTATATATTCAACAACAGTCATATATGCCCTACTTCAAGATGGCAATTCCATCCTCAAACAACAAGACAGTTCTTATAACTGGCATCAATGGCTACATAGCCAGTGTCCTAGGTTCTCAACTTCTGCAAGCCGGTTATTCAATTCGCGGCACCACTCGTCGTATCTCTAGTGCGGAACCACTGCTCAAAGGTCCTTATGCACCTTATGTTGATCGAGTGAAGATATACGAGGTACCCGATATGACAATTTCTGGTGCTTTCGACGAAGCTGTTAAAGGTAAATCTCAATTTCCTCACTCTCCTCACTCTCCTCACTCTCCTCACTCGATCTGAATTGAACTGAATTGGACTAATCAATATACCAGGTGTCAATGGAATCTTCCACACCGCATCTCCCATAGACTTCAGTCTTAAAACCTACGCCCAAATGGTCACTCCAGCCATAGACGGCACCAACACCCTGCTTTACTCCTCCCTAAAAGCCGGACCCCAACTCAAAACCGTAGTAATAACCTCTTCCGTCATCACCGTCGTAGATCCTCGCACCGACCCCTACACCTTCACCGAGAGCGACTTTGCCACTTCCTACCTCACCCAAGCGCAAAAAGATCTCCAGGAAAACCGTTCCTCCAGCGCCGGAATTCTCTACGCCGCCTCCAAGAGCGCCGCCGAATCCGCCGTCTGGAAATTCCGCACCGAAAAATCCCCCTCCTTCGCACTCACAACCATCAACCCCGCCTTCGTCACCGGGCCGCCAGTATCCCTCCCCGAAACAGGCGAGAAACTAAACGAAACCCTCAAACCCATCTACAACATGCTCTCCGGCGTCACCAAAACCATCTCACCTGCCTCCGGTACCGGCAGTTCCGTAGACGTGCGCGATGTAGCGTACATGCACATCTGGGCGTACGAACACCCTGAAAAATCAGACGGGGAGCGCTACATCGCGTGTTTGGGAACTGGGCCTCCACAGTCGCAGGCTGATATTTTACGGGAGTATTTCAAGGAGAAGGGAGATGAGAAAGCTCTTGAGAAGATCGTGGTTGGAAATCCCGGAGAGGGTTATGTAGGATACAATAAGGAAACGGGGAAAGTGGAGAGAGTAGAATCGACCCCGGAGAGGCCGCGTGTGAGTGGAGAAAAGGCACAGAGGGAAATGGGATTTAGGTTCAGGAGTTTTAAGGAGAGTGTGATTGATACAGCGGAAGCGTTGAGACCTTTGCTTTGAGAGGTTGGAAAGAAAGCTATCGATATAAATCATTCAGTTAATGCGACTTCAAACAGCCGAGTACACAATAGCCCGATGAAAATGATATTCGTAGAAGATCAAGAAGCGAGACTCAATCCATCATCCAAATTCTGAATCTAAAACTCACAACCCGAACTCCATATCCGCATCCAATCCTCCCACCAATCTTCCCAGACTCCAAACCACACCCGCGCACACAAACACGTGCCCCTCACATGATCCATTTCCACCACCCAATCTTCCCACCAATCTTCCCACCAATCCCCCCATCCCAACCCCCCCTCCAATATCCGCATCCTTCCCATCCCAATTAACACGCAATACCTACCCCATGATAAATAAACGCGGTCCACGCATGCCCACCCCAATAAATACCTACGATTCTGCCAATCCTTTCGCAGTTATCGGGCGCTTAATATGATCCTGCGACCTTTTAGGTGGATGATTGGATGATGAGTATTGTAATCTTATATTATGTAATTGTGTAATTGTGTAAGGGATTGATGTAATGGGAAAATAAAATGAAATAATAATGACATGATTGTTGGTGGTTTGGAGATTCGTGTTGGGTTGGTTTAGTTTGCTTTGGTTATGTATGTATGGAGTCGACGGATAGTATGAACATATATTGAATGATACACCTACACATCTCCCTTCCAAACAAAAAACCTCTCCACCAGCAACCCCTCAAAGCAAGGTACGTACGTATTCACAAAATCTAGAATGCCGAAAGCGCAATACGCACAAGACGCTAGGTCTCTTGCAAGGCTTTGCGACATCAAATACCTAAATCCCGACCTCATCCGTACACATCTCTACATAGCGACGCGAGATATGACCCCGCCTGTGTATTGACCGAGTAGTCCAACATCTTTGGGGGAAAAAAGGGAGTGTTCATACATAAACTCTTGCTGTGTAGATCTCTGTTCATCGTCTGACAATTTATCGATTCTTGCTATTCATGTATCCGCATTCTTGAGATCGATACTTGATTTCTGTCTTTCTCATTTCTTTTGAGTTTACGGACGGTATCACTTACCTTGTGCTGTGAAATATTTCATTCTGAAAGCTACCTGATGAGACTTCATAGAGTGTTTCTTTTTGCCTTTATTGGCAATGCTATTGCCGTTGCGATAGTGGAAAGGGCGAAAGAGACGGATTGTTCGTTATCGCCCTCTTTATGTTCTACTAAGAAGACATCATCTACGACTTCCTCTTCCACTACCTCGTCCACTACCTCGTCCACTACTTCATCTTCCACCACTTCATCGACAACATCTCCTAGCAGCACAATCCAAACAACCGGAACCCTCACCGCCGACTTCTCCGCCTCTGCCACCGCCGCCACCGCAACTTGCGGCGCTGGATTCCTCCCCGAAACCGCCACCGACCGAGCGCGCTCCATTCTCCAAACCAACACCACCAGCACCTGCGCGACCATCTCCCCAGGATGGCCCTGTTTCGGGATCGGCATGAAGCCGAACCAAGATACCGTGTCTGCGATACGTGGTGCATTTGACGCCCCTGATTATCACGGTACCGTCGCCTTTCTGTGCAATCTGAGCGAGATCCCCATGACGACTGCGGGGTTCGATGTCGCTGTGTTGGATGATTTGATATATGTGAAGCATTGTGCGAATTATACGCCTGCGGCGCTGATGAGTCCCGGGGAGTGGGTTTATGGGTATTTGGACTGGAATACGGTGCAGACGGTGGGACAGAGTAGTGAGTTGTGTACTCATGTCATGAGTCAGGTGGTGGCATATCCTAATCGCATGTCTTGAGTGAGATTTGGGGGTCTGGATTGGGGATTTGTTGTAAGTTTGTTGGTTGTTTCTGTGTTAGCTTGTATTTTAGAATATAATAGCAATTTGTTTCTTTGGACCCTATGTGCTTTTCAAACTTGGAAGCACTTGAAGTGATAGTCGACAGAATGAATAGAATACTTCCATGATTTTCTTGGTCAGCAAGCAGGTGGTGTTTCATTGGGACAGCCACGAATTGTTTCCTCGACCTCGTGAATCTTGTGCGCGTGCCTAACCAACAATTGGTCAATTGGTTATCAATAGAGAAATGTGAATTCCTTGAGGAAAGAAATTTGTTACAATGGACGATATATCATTAGGTCTATGATACTCTTCAGGGGGCAGACGTAAAACATTCGAAGATGCTCATTTTAATAGCCTTGGAATGATCGAGATAGACAAGTTGATTTCAAATGTATATGTGAGAGAGTGTTTTTATCATGGTATTTTCATGACGGTGTAATCTGACTGATACATACATACCCACAAAAGATCCTTCGCGGGGCACGGAATCCTTATCAATTGAAATTCCAGAACTGTGCTCACTGCTCTCTGTACCCTGATCCACACGCCACCAAGGTTTCACGGAAACGATGGATATGTTTCCATTTCGGATGGCAGCGATATAGAAAAGAGAAGCATTTCAACATTAGGGTATGAGAATGTGCAAACCCTAAGGATGAAATTGATTCATATCAATACGATTGGTTGGGCATAGGAAAGTCAAAATGAAGACGGGAATGAGATACCTTCTTAGGCTTTGGTGGATACTGAAAGATGTGACGCATTGTGCTTCAATGGCTAGTAGCTAGAACACCCCCACATCATCCCATGTCTTACTGGATCTGGCCCCTTCTAATGTAAGTGACGATAGGTAGGTAGGAGTAGGTAGGTTTCCAGTTTCTTCAACTGTTCACAGAGGACAGATAAGTAAAGGAATGTAAGAAAGAAAAGTTGGTACAGTAGACGATGTGTGAGTCAATATATCTTACATATATCCCAAGTCATCTTGTTCTTCCTTTCCTCCATCTCCGTCATCAGCAGAAACCGGGACTGGAACTTTGATTCGTATGATTCATCAAGGCGAGAGATAAGAATCACATGCAAAAAGGAAAAAGCAAAAGCGAAAAGCAGCTGGAGAGAGAGCAATGGACAATTAGAGACACCCACGCAAGCAAGCGAGCGAGTCTGCATGATGGGTATCCGTAATGACTAGGGAACGACTGGGTAGAAATATGGACTAGGGCGTAGATGTGATTTTAGATGTGTCTCTGTTTCCAGCAGAATACAGTAGGTAGGTAGTGAAAAGACCACGATGCTGTTAATTATTGGTATAGAGATGGGGAGGGAAGTGAATCATGAATCATGAATCATGAAGATATAAGATATAAATGATAAGATAAGGTGTAATTTGTGGAATGCGTAGATGTTACCTAGATAGGTATATATGGAGTGTGATGGATGTATTTCTGTGATTGTAAGATGTTATTATGACATTCACTGTATGGTCTGGCCTAAATGGTGTCCCGTACCCGTAGTAATGTAACTGCAGTCTGTAATTACCTAGTCGTCTGTAATCAGTCTGTAATCCTGTAACCGTGCGTATCCATCCATGTACCAGATTTTCTCGTGTGCGCTTCGATTCTGACGTGCCCCATCCGAAGGACAATTCACTGGCCAGCCAGTTACGGTATGTAGGTAGGTAGGTATTACCGTAAGTAGTGACCAGTCCGTCAATCCAATGTTTACCTAGGTAATGTTCAATGTTCAATGTCCAAATGTCCAATGTCCAATGTCCAATCCAATGTCCAATGTCTATCTACATCTACCCCAGGTCCCTACAGAATACTCTCCCGTGTAGAGTAGAGTGCTTGCTCTGTACCTACTCTCTACCTACTCCGTACCTACTCCGTTCCTACCTACCTACCTACCTACCTACCCAGGTGCTGTACAAGCCCATCCATAACCTTGAATTCCAAACAATTCCCATGGCAAAGCAAAATAGAACAGGATTGCTCGCGTGCTTCATTCGACGCTAAACCCCATTGGCTCTCACTAGAACCAAAAAATAATTCCATATCGAGCTCTGCCCTCTACCCTCTACCACAGAAATTGTTTGGCTCGTGCAAGTGCGACCATATTGACTCCACTTTCTTCCCATTTCTCAACCCACTACTGCAGCTTTTCGTAGGTCAGAAAGAAAAGGACAAAAGAATCGATCGGTCTTCTTCTTGCCAGCTTTCGTCATCATTGCAATTCAATTAATAAACTGTGAAAGACTATCCTACCTAGTCCTTTGCCTTTCTTTTAAACAAAAAGCCTTTGCCAGTCACAACTTCAAAGGATACACCACCTCCAGAACAACAACAACACAAGTCATCGCACCATCGAACAAAAATCAACCACCTTTCCATCACAAGCTTATCATCATAAGCGTCCTCGACGGTTTCCCTTCTTCCACACAACAAACCATCAATTTCTATACATATTATGTCCGATTTTCCCTCCAACGCCAGTACAACTTCCACTGAAGGGACTACCAGCACAATGGAGAACGCAAAGAATACAGTGTATGACAGTAAGGTAAGCTATATCTATCAATCTATCAAATAAATCACACCAAAGTCTACATCGCTAATAATGAAACAGTTCAAAACTTCGCACAATGAGATCAATAAGATCAATACAGGACAAAACTAATCAATCAATTGTAGATGCATCTGCAGCTGCCAACGCTGTTGGAAATCATCCTCTCACTCAAAGTGTCGTGAACGGTATGATAATTTCCCATGACATATCCTTCAAATCCACAATACTGACATTTTCTCCATAGGCCCAATGGCAGATAATGTACGAGACCAACATCAAAAGACTCAAGCCGAGTTTTCCAACCTCGCAAGCTCTCGCACCACCCCTACCACTCAAACAGCTAACGGTCAACAACTCACACATTACCATTCCTTCTTCTACAACGTGTTATCGTGGGAGAATCCTCGTGCATCTGGAATTGCATACCTTTCTACCGTTGCATTCATCTTCGCCGCCAGATATCTTGACATCCTCCGATATTCATTCAAGATTACATATATGACTTTGTTTGTGACTGTTCTCGCAGAAGGTCTTGGAAAGCTAGCTTTCTCGCATGGACTCACTTCTCAATTCAGACCTAAGAAGTATTACACAGTTTCCAAAGAGACTCTCGATAGCTTACTTGGTGATGTCCATGAACTTATCAACTTCTTCGTCATTGAGTCACAACGTGTTCTCTTTGCCGAGAATGTATTTGTTTCCCTGACTGTAAGCAATCCTCGAATTCCTTGCCATAAAATATGAAGTACTGACATAAACAGGCCTTGATCGGATCCTTCATTTCCTACTACTTGATTAAGCTCATTCCATTCTGGGGTCTCACTCTCATCGCTACTTCAGTTCTCTTCATCTCCCCACTTGTCTACAAGACCAATAAGGAGCTCATCGACAACACTCTTGCTCAAATCTCGAGCATTGTCAACCAACAAACCGAACAAGTCAAGCAACTTGCTAGTCAACACGCTTCCCACGTTGCCGAGACCACCAAGCAATATGCTGGAGAGTATGCTCACAAGGCACAAGAAATGATCGGAAGTGCTAGAAGCCGCTCCGGATCTCCAGAAGCTAGCAGAGTTGCCTCCCCAACTGCCAAGACTAACGGTATCAAGGAGGAAGATTTCCCAACAGCCCCAAAGGAGGAGTTCAAATCCGGAATTGCTGCTGAGGAGGAGCCACTCATTGCTGCATAAATGTACCGCAAATGCAACACATCGTGGAAAGGAGACTCCTTACAACTCTCATAAGAGAGGTCAATATATCCTCAGTTGAGGGGTCGAGATACAAAAGCAAAAAGTTATATCATGGTATTAGCTGAAGAAACACAAGGAGTCAGCGAGAATCACGCAGATTGATATGCATACGACAATTACCATATTACGAGATCCGGTGAAGGAAATACAGGGACTAGCACGAAATGCACGGCAAACTTTGTTGTCTGTGAAGCTTTTTCTCTTACTTTTTTATTTAGTTGTGCGACTTCTTTAGTTCTGTCGGTCGCTGCCTTTTGGTTGGTTCCAAGTGGGTATCTTCTAATGGATGGATGGGATGGAGTGAAATGGGTGGGTAGGAATGACGTTACGGTTATTGATGATATTTTATAAGGAGCGTTTGCGTTTTTTACGGACATAGGAAGGGCATTATAGTTCTTTTTGCGTTTTGCCAAACTAAAATGAAAAAATTTAAAAATCTTTACTTACATGAGTGTGTTTAATTCTGTATTAAAGTAATTTCGAGGTTTGGATGAGGCCTGGAGTTACTTTGACATGTTCACGAAGCTCGCATACCTTGACCTGTTTGTTGCCGGTTAGTGAACGGTAAGCTGGCGCCGAAATGCCCTACTCCTGACATTATGATTCACGATACGTTCTCTCCTCTTATATCATGGATATCCAAGTAAGTAGCTCGGCACAAACACTTGATCCATGTGAGTCTCAGGATCTGAAATTCTTGAAACTTGATGAGTTGGGGGTTTAAATTGGAGGCATTGGATGCTATGATTTGATATGATGGGGTAGTGAGTGTTGTGTGCCTGTCTTGAGCTATTTTCATTCTTTGTGTGGAATTGGAATTGGAATTGGGAGGTAGGTTTAGGCTAGTGGGGTTGGATGGGATGGGGTTGATGTTAGGGAGGGGTCGTGATGGAAATTGTGTGGATGTTTGTTGTGTTGTTGCCGTTGTCGTTGTCGTACTTTTTGGGGGGATGAGAGAAGGGAATGGGGAGCGCGGGGGGTGGCTTTGGAGGTGGTTGTGTATGTGGTGTGGTATGTGGTGTGTATGTAGTGTGTATATGGTGTGTGTAGGCAGGTAGGTGGGTATGTGCTGTGTTTATGGTGTGTTCGGAGCATAGCGAAAGAAAACTTATGCGTTGGATTTTACGGGATTTTTGTATGGCGTTCTAAGTAATATAGATTTTTTTTTTATATTCAGGAATTCAATTTGTATATAGTTATATAATATTTTTTTATCAAAGATTTAATTGTATAAAGAATTAAAAAACAAAGAATAAGTTTTACTTTCAGTCTTTCAATATCAGAGGCTTATTAGATATCGAATATTGAGCGCTCCGAGACACTAGCGAGCTGCCTCGCCCCGAATGTGTATGTGGTGTGTATATGGTGTGTGTAAATAGGTATGTATACATGGGAAATTGAAAGATGATTGGACTTCTTTGTGTAAATAGAAGGTATGTGTGCACTGTGTGGTAGCTGGATGGGTATCTGTAATGGTTTAATCATTCAATCATGTGGTCGGGGAGTTACTAGAAAGTGAGTGAGAAGTGATGAGTGTGTGGTTGATATACTTGTTTGCTGTTGTAGGACAATATCGAGAAGTGTGTGGAGAGGTTGGATTGCTGGGTTTTGGTGGTGCGGGGGATTCTAGATGGGTGAGCGTTTAGGTAGGCATGTTATGTAGGTATGTTATATATTCATTATACTGGAATCTCTGATTTATTGAGAATTCTGGAGGAGGATGATTACCAGATAGTTGTGTGTGTATGTGTGTGGACCCAGGTAAGGCATTCTAGGTGTGAATACCCTGAAAGTCATTTTGTGAAGATGAGATGACGTCATGATGGATGTTGAGGGTAACTGGTTAGTACCTATTTATTAGGCTCTGATTGCTGTGTGTGTTTGGGGAATTGAGGTGGATGTTGATGTTGGTGATGGTACGGATCTGAAATGGAGATGATATATATATATATATACTGTTTATGTATATCTGGCCTGGTAGCTACCTACCAACTATAGTAAATAAGTGTACGGTACGGGGCTTGAGGATATGCGTGCAAGAAAGAAGTGATACGTTGTGTGTGTGGGTAGGTAGTTGGAACTTGGAGGGGAGAGTGAATAATTTTACGGGTTCATATCGTATTTGAGCTGGGTGGAATGTTTAGAGGGTGAGAGAGTTGAGAGTAGAAGGTACTGTCACAATGATAGTGCAAGGAGTGGCTTGCTTGTTGTTTTATTCTTGCAGCGTTTTAATTTGGGATGTCTGTTTTATTTTTTGAGTTGACTGGTATTTCTCGGGATACAAATTTTTTAGGAAATAGTTGAAGAATTCAAACTAAAATCTTTCAATCTTTTCAGGCGCTGTTATTGATTACATGCTTATTAATATTTCAGGTGATCCGTCGATATAGTGAGAGCTATCATGAGGTAACTGACGTGCATGAAGACGACGCGAAAGTCCAGGATATTCATTCGAAGAATTCTAGGGTGTTCGGTGTTGTTTGTTAATTGAAATTATCACTAATGAAGCCCATGACCATATGGAACTACAAAACGACCTCTCAGAGAACTTTCCTGTCCTCGTAGTGGAACTCGTAGTCCTATATTAGAAAGTTTAGATCCACGAATCTTGGACTTGTATGGCAAAGAGAAGAGAGAGTTTGACTGGAAACATGCAAGAGATTAGTGAGCGTTGCATGTTTTCTGGAGGATCAGTGCAATTAAATTTTGCTAAAGAAATATGTGTGAAGCTCCCGTTGAGCCTCTGGAATGTCTTGGTCAACAAGAGTGGGAGACATTTCTTCGAAATCTACAACATACTTCTAAATCGAGAGAAATTTGTCATCCAAGCGGCTGCCATCAAATGCGCTTTGAAAAAGGTGAGCACAAGTATTAACAATGTTTCACCGGATTTTGAGCTATGTAGGCCTCGTGCTTCAAAGTGCCTGAAAAGTGCAGAAAATGGATTTCTTGAGAGTCTGAGGACGCAATATACTTTGATGAGATTTACGATGGTGAGAGTGGCAGAGCTTGGAGTATGAGTTACCTCGCGATCAATGCCACGCAAATGCTCAGAAAGCTAGAAATTTGCGAGAACACTTGCGAGGTTGCAGTATAGATCCGTAATTATGTGTGAGAGAGTGAGAGAGAGCCATGCTCATGCCAGACTCGGGCAACTTGCGACGAGATATCTCTGTCGTTAGAGAAAAGCTACTTTCTTCCCCCAATGACACACAGCGGATTGGCCGGAATAACAACGAAATGTATAAGAGAAAGAAGGCCGTTAAAATCCAGCCGAATGTGACGTCTACTTAACACCATCTAGTTCAACTAACCCGCTATGGTTGGAGCAAATTATCTGCAACTCTTGTTTGAAGTAACATTTATCATTTTGGATGTTACAGTGAATAATTCAGTGTGATAAACATGAATAGGTATTTAACTCATAAGGAAATACCTATGTAAATCCGAAATTCAATTTCACAACTGCTTTGTAAAACTGTCCGCAATGAATCGAACTCAAAAATGAACAAAAAGGGGCTCTATATTCATTCCCAAGCAGTTGTTCGAACTTGAGATTGAGAATTGATCATTTGAGCTCGTAGCAGATTGTAAGTATAATACCATTATGAAGAACCCATAGTGTACTTTAGACCAATATCAAGCGGAAAAACAATTGTAGAATGTATTTCCATCGAAGTGACGTTTGTAAACTACCCCTAGATGTTGTATTTCTCGTTTCACTCCAAACTACACTAAAACCCGCCCCACGATCACATCTCGACCACCGTAATATCCGGACCTCCCATAACCTCACCTCGCCACCATCTCCCCTTCCAAGCTCCATAACCATCTACACAATGGTTCCTCCTTCATCCTAATACAAAACCGCCAGTAAGTACTTTCGATCCCCAGTACCCAATCCTCTCCCCGCTCATCTCTAACCACATATTCCATTACACACAGAGGTAAAACCCGGCTCGCGAAATGGTACGCTCCGTACAACGATGAAGAGAAGATCAAGCTCAAGGGCGAAGTACATTCATTCTCCCCCCCTATTCCCCAACATCAATCTAACAATGCACCAGGTGCATCGACTCGTCGCGCCCCGCGATCAAAAATACCAATCGAATTTCGTCGAGTTTCGCAATAATAAAATTGTCTATCGTCGCTATGCGGGACTGTTCTTCTGCGCGTGCGTCGATGCGAATGATAATGAGTTGGCGTATTTAGAGGCTATACATTTTTTTGTCGAGGTGCTCGATAGCTTTTTTGGGAATGTGTGTGAATTGGATTTGGTCTTTAATTTTTATAAAGTATGTTTCCCCTCCGAGGGAACTATTTCGGATTAGAGAGTGCAAGGAGGAGATGAAAGGGGAATGGAATGGTGCTGATTTTTCGCGATGATAGGTGTACGCCATATTAGATGAAGTATTTTTGGCTGGGGAAATTGAGGAGACGAGTAAACAAGTTGTTTTGACGAGGTTGGAACATCTGGATAAATTGGAATGATTGCGGAAACATAAGAGGCTGGTCTACTAAAATTAGCCAACAGTAATGGCAGTAAGCAGTTAGTAGCAGTCGATACGAAAGGGAAAGCTAGGAGTTCAGGAGTTCAACTGCAGGCATAAGAACTGGCGCAAGGCGAAGTTACAGTCAAAACCTAGATTTGTCACGCGAGTGGCACCATTATTGAGGTACTATGATTCATATGTTTCTCTCCTTGCACAAATAGCAAGCTAAAACGCTCTTCTCTTGTCACCTATCACTCAGTGTACCATACCTCCTAATTACCAACTTTTATACAACAGCAATATCAAAGAGCTACTTTAAAAACAAAATGATTGTCAAAGTCTGTGTAATAAACAGCCCAGATTTTGCGAAGTAGCTGCTTATATTGTTTTCAACATCCGCCGTCTCATCAATTTTCAAAACTCCCTTCATATAAAAACAGCTGTCGTTACAACGATTGATCGCCCGCAGCATCCGTCGAGGTGTTACCATCATTAACATGTCCATGGTCCCCGGGTGTTTACTCTTGCATTTCAATATCGGAACCTGGGGAGGCTGACGTATTTTTGTCGAGAATGAAGTAAGGAATCTCACTTGAAACTCGGCCAGGTGGATGATCGAAGGTATGATCTGAATCCATTGATGAAGCGGAAGACAATGGAGAAGAGCTCTGCAGGGATCTGATGATTGTTAATACAGATATCTCACACTCCCATCTGGACAACGGGTATCTAACTTACGATGTTGACACATTCAATTGTCCCATGCGACGTTGGTCGTCTTCATCCCACAGCTCTACCGCCGTGCGACGTCTTCTTCTCAGGTTTACAATTTGACCTTCTGTTCGATTTGCAATTAGGCTCTTAACAAAATCGGAGTAGATTTTCTCTGGCGTCTCTGAACGCACCCGTGGCGAGTCACACCCTGCTTCCATATCATCCACAGGAGTTCGGATGTCATCTTCGCTAGAAGTATCCATAGGTGAAATCTCTCGCTGGCGCATGTTCATATCAGAGAGTGGGCTTTGAACAGAATTCTCGGTTGAATTTGTCGATTTTCTGACTGGAAGTTTTTGGCTCAACTCAAATTCTGCGGTGTAGGGATCCGTTTCCTTGAGAATTCCCCTAGCATCTGCGTCATGTCTTTCAGTGTCCAAATGTAAGGGTCTTGTGTCATCAACACCTTGCATCAGCTCTTCTCTATCATCATATTCAACTTTTTGTCTGGTGGTACGTTGATGCTCCTTGTAACCAATATCATTCATTTCCATGGAGCGAGCACGCTTGCGATTAGCTGCCATGATGGTAGAGGCCACATTGGAGATCGACACACCAGTCACTTCTGCTACCCCTTCCATTGACATCCCGGTATCTTCTGCCATAGCCATGGAGGCTCTGTGTATGCGTTCCTCGATATCGGCAAGTTGTTCAAGCATGTTTTTACGAGTTGGCAATTCTGGCTCTCGGTCGATATCGTCATCTAAAGTCATTGCTTGTTCTCGTTTAGAGGAACTAGATTTCTTAAATGTCTCCAAGTTTTCACCTCGCCATTGACTCGAATCCCACTCCGCACCTTCGTTTTCGAAATTGTTTGATTTTGACATCCCCCCCTGCCTTGCCTTGGAGTCTTCTCTCTTATCCAAGGTTCTTTGTTGAGTTTTGGGTTTCATCCCGGCAGCCAGACGTTTTTTGGGTGATGGAGTCTTTTTTGGTGTTCTCTGGGCATAGGGAATACCAGTGCTTTCCGAATTTGTTACAAATCGAGCATTTGTACGACCCCGGTGGCTTTTTGTCAAAAGCAGGATCCTGAAAATCTATCAGCATTCTTCCGTATTGTGCTTTGATCATGATTATCTACCATATTTGTTGGACATTTTTTGACCAAGTGGCCTATTCAATGTTAGTAGTCATTACTTGCTCTCGTATGCGATTTTCATGATAGAGATGAAGACCTTTATCATTAGAGTGTATCTCAAAAGGGGCTCATACCATTCTTCCCGCATCGATTGCAGATATAACTCGGTGGAACATACTCTGAACGGCTGCCTCCGAGATCCGATTTACTCGAGGGCTTGTCCGATCGATACTCACCTCTGTCAGAGTATCCTTTATCCGAAGGTTTATCTTTGTTTAAGCCGTATTTTTCATCAAACACTTTTTCAATCTCATCAACGGAAGGAAGGTGCTTCTCCTCAATCCATCCTTTCGGGCCATTGAGCGTGGAAGGACCATTGGATTTCTTCCAATCTATAACGTGTGCGATTACTGCTTCCTTGTCAACTCCACGGTGCTCCAATGATTCCACCCACTGTTTGATCGTGTTTGGCCAAGCTTTAAATAGTTGTAATGAGCTTCTCCGATGGACTTCGAGCCATCGGCAATATATTCTCATGATCAAAGAAGCTGGTGATTCATCGTTCACATTCTTAGCTAAGTTGCTCAAAGATATGTTTAGTAGATCATCATCAGTTACTAAACCTGGTGCTCTAAAGAGAAGCTCTAGTAAAGCTTCTTCCTCCCACGCACTTTCATGTCGACTTTCTTTTGCAGAAATCATCTCGAGATGTAGAAATTGATAATAGAAAAAGGCAAAAGTGGATTGAAGTTGAAGGTCTTTAGGAAAAGGAAGTTGTTGTTTGTTATTTGATGTCGCACGGACCTAGTGCACCTTCTCCCTTCGAGTCCATATGCTTTGATTGGGAATTGTTTATATGTTCGAGGTTGACTTGATTACCTTATCTGATTCTCTCGATAAACAAAAAGGTTCGGAGAACAACCAGTTGATAACCATCTCCTAGTCGAAATACCATCGCAGACTTTAGCTTGAGACTTTTATGGTTCATCTGAAGAATATCATACTGTAAATTGGACATATTATACCAAGAGCACAAAGAAGCAATCTACCTTATTCTATACATGATAAAGAAGCTTCAACGACAGTCCTCCTAAGTTACACCACTTGAAGCATATTGCAACCTTCTTCTCAGACAGACAACGTCTGGGCTATTATCTCACATAACATTGAGAATATTTCGTCCGACACCACGATACTACTGGTATCTTCTTGTCATTTCTCTCCGCAAGAAAGGTATGAAATCCCATCTCATTCGCTAGCAATATCCACTAACACCCTTCTTATTGTAGATCGTGGACATTGCAACCAATTTTACAACTACCGACCACAGACAAATCCTTCATTTTCTTCAAAGCACCGATCTTACTTCTCATCTTGGACTACATAGGCGAGAATGAGTTCTTCTTCATCTCAAGGAATTATGCAACCTGGATCAATAAATGCGGTCCTACCAGTAATTCCTAGCACATTTCCAAAGTTTCAGAAGCTGTCCTTTGAGTTACGCGAAATGATATGGAAATGGACCTTACCTGGAGCCCGAATCATTGATGTAATTTACGACATAGACCAGGACAAGTACTTATCATTCCGTTCTAAACCACCCTCTCTACTGCACACAGTAAGTTTGATCTGTCTTCATATCCTGTGTTTTGTTATCCGGGGAAGCCATCGTCAAGATGCTGAATCCCAGTTTTTCCAATAGTCCGGACTGCAGCTCAATCTAGGATTCCAATTTTGAGATTTCGAATATGCACTTGTCAATTTCACAAATCCATTATTAAAATATGATCCAATAATCAAATTTATTTCATTGCCTGAGATAAGCTCGATATTTAAAGGGAATAAACGTTCTGAACTTTTTGATTGTTAGACTGCCGTCCGGACTATTGAGTACCCTGCTCATCCCCTGTATATTATGATAGTAATATTGCTAACAAGTCAACTCCTTAGAATAGAGAAGCCAGATCGTTTGCACAAAAAGTCTACAACTTGTGCTTTCCAACACCATCCCACCCGGCGAATATTTACATGAGATACGATATCGATGTTGTCTACTTCTCCGACTGGCTTACGGGCTATAAATATGAGGAGAACGGTTGGTTTGAACATGCTGCCATTGGTCCGCTTGGTAAGATGGGAATAGGAAGACAGGATTTGAAATCAATTACAAGAATAGCTGTCAACTCGATCTATTTTGACGTACCCGAGGGATTTTCGGCCAACAGCATAGAATATTTCTGTCACGCTACATCAAATGTACTCGCCAGATTCAGTTCCTTGAAGAGACTATACGTGGTTGTTGAAGATATTAACCCCTATCAGAAAGGGGAAATTACATTTCACGACATTCCTGCCAATATACGCCTTCACCCTTCAGTTTTCTGCGCCTTCTGCGGGGCTCACGAAATAGTCAGAGGTTTTACAGACGTGAAGTGGGATTTGACTTGTACTTGGAGAGTCCCTTCTGTTTCGGTTGTGGGAGCGGCTCGTGATGGTAAACTATCACACATGGGTCAGTATCAACGTTGCGAGTGTAACAACTTTCCTCAAATACCAGGTGTGACTTATCAACACCCCCCATGCGAGGAGTATCGCCCTAAGCCAGCTAAGGTCGCTGGTCAACTTGGTGACGTCAATGCTGATGATGATACACCCAAGTTAGTCGAAGATGACTTGCCGGAAGAAGAATGGGGTCTCGCTGAGAATGAGCTGGATGAATTGATCTCAGACGAAGAGGCCTATTATACATTCGTTGCTGATTATTGTGAGGGAGAGTATGGAGTTAACCATGAGAAGTGGCTTGGCATCGACTATTTGCTGAGTCATCCTTCCTTGTGAGTTGTTATCTACCCTGGGATTCTTGGAAATACCAAGATATTTAAGGTTGGATACGAAAAGAAGTATGCTATGGTATATTTCAACGTCCTCCTGACGTATATACAATGCCACATACTGACAATTGGGTGGTCACATCTGTTTCTGCTTTCCCCTGTTCTTTTCGCTTCGTCTTCAGGAAATGGTATGGAGGGTTAATTGATTGTATGATGAATGGCGATCCTACAGAAGCAGAGTTTACAAGTTCTCCAATTTCAAATCAGATGTTAGGAGTATTAATAATGTATCAAGGTGGTCGTTGCATGTGGATGGGATGTCAGTTGAGAGAAGTGGGTTTCAAATTTTCATTTGTCTTTTACAGTCATGCGACGTCAACATGATAATAAGAGTGTCTAGAACTGTATTTTAGTTTCGTTAGTATGCCCCAATGAAATAATGGAAACGTACTATACCAGGTCTCTTTTACATCCGGTGCATGGAACTGACCCGGCTCTGTTTTATATCCATATATATGGGAAGCATCGGCATGGACTGACTATATTTCACACGATTTTGTAGCTTCTCTGCAATTCAAAGGCTAATAGAGGATGGAAGCAGTAATTCGAAAGCCAAATATCCCACAATTCACTGCAAAATTCGAATCCATACAATCCTCGTGCTATTCCTGAAGAGCAAAAACTTAATAACGTCAAGTAGCCTCGGAAACTTGAGCTTCAATAGCTTCCCTGATCTCAGAAAGCTCAAAGTGCTGCTTGCCCCCCGCTAAAGATTCGGAGCCCCTGAGAGGATGTCATTAGTATGAATCTGGAATCATGTATGGTTGAGATGTGCAGTTATCCCCGGTTTGAAATGTTCCAACCCAGATATCGCGGAAATGGGCACCTTCATATGCGAGATCTGCCTTTAAAGCCTTACAGAATATGGCTACATTGTGCTCGCACTTGTGCAACTTAGTTTCACAGGATTGTCAGGTTGGAGAATTTGTATTACCAGATGTGCAAATTCCAAAACAAGATATGGTATCTATATCATTTCTACATGTCTATCCTTCTTTTCTATGCCAAGATATTATTAGCTGCCACTTCCTTCTTTTGCTCTGCCTCAGCGCTTTCTACCTTCGCTCCCTCACCTTTCCAAACCTCTTCGATAACTCCGCCAATTTGTCCCAAGAACCTCGTTACCTCATCTTCCGTTCCAACTGTTATTCTCACACAACCAAGGCAGCCATGTTCCTTTCCTCTGAATCTAACCACGACTCCCCTGTTCTCTGCCAAGCTTTCATAAACCTTTCTTGCAACCTCGTTATCAGGCTGCCCATTCTCATTCAAAATCTCCACAAGCAAGAAATTACTCGCTACGCCACCTCTGAATCGCCCCACACCCTTGACCTTTGGCAATTCATTCAGTAACCTCTCTCTCTGTTCTACAATCTTCTCTTTATGTGCTGTCATGACTGACAATCCGTCTTCCTTCAACGCCTGAGAAGCAAGAGCCTCTGTAGGTGAGCTAATATTGTATGGTGCCTTCAAGTTGTTCAACAATGCCGCAATTTCAACACTAGCAAACGCGGCACCAAGTCTGATACCAGCTAAGCCAAATGCCTTACTCAGCGTCTGCAACACCACTAAATTTGGCCACTCGTTCACCCATTCCGCAAGTGATGATCCGTCAGGTGAGAAATCTATATATGCTTCATCGACCACCACTATACCATTCCACGTCTTGTGCAATAGTATTTGCTCAATCTGTTCTTTTGGAATTAAGGATCCAGTAGGGTTTCCAGGCGAACAGATGTATATGAGCTTGATGGGCTTTGGTTGTGGTTTCGACAGTGTGTCAAGAATAGCTGGAACATCGAGACCAAACTCAGGAGCTGGTAGTAATGGCACTTTAACGAGGGCTACATCGTTGACTTGCGCAGATACACTATACATGCCATAAGTTGGCGGGCAAACGAGAATAGAATCGACTGAGGGTGTGCAGAAGCAGCGGATAAGAGCATCAATTGCTTCATCGGAACCGACGCCGAGAAAGAGGTTGAGAGGGTGGAGGGGCAAATCGGTATGATGGTGGGTGTTGCGCAATTTGCATAAGAGAGATTTGAGAGGATGTTGATGAGGGTCGGGATAGCGATTCAGCCCAAGGAAATTGAGAGATTGGTTTGAAGTAACGCTCTCTGGAAGAGATGGGCCGTAAGCATTCTCATTGGCATCGAGAAGGATATTTGTTCCGTCATCTTTGTAATCACTAAATGGGAATATGAGTCAGTAAACAGACATTAGAGATGGGATTGTAGAACACTGACTCTCGTGCACAGCGATATGGCTCCAATGCAAGAATATTAGGTCGAGCACATGTCTGCAAGTTGAACGGGGAATCTGTACGAGAAGGCATTGTGATATGTGGTTGTTGCTTAATTATAAAGAGTCATGAATCTTGGAGGGGTTAGAAATATATTTTGAAGCCGAGCTCGGCAGCCTTCAATGCAAGGCTGACGACCCACTTTTGCACTTTTGATATCGATGACCAATTCGACCCACTTTTCACACACCCCTCCCCTTTCTTCTCGTTTGTCTTGACAAGTCAACACAATCGGAGAAACTCCACAAACCAATAGCATTTATCTTTCTTGGGTACGTGTTTTCTCAGAAGCAAATACATATGCAAAGGTTTCGATGGCGATACTTCAGACTTCCCAGCATAATTTCTACAATTCCAGTGCGAAGCTCACTTCCACCCATCTTTTCATTGATTGTCTACAGTAACATACTTGGGCGGCTGGCGTCAAGGTTTGGTTTCGAGATATACTTCCCTGCATCTTGTCTCTTGAGTTTACTTGCGCTTGCCTGTCGTGTGGCTTGTACACTAGCCAATTTCTCACCGGCACTCTCTTGTAATAATTCTTTTCTATGTTTGTTTCTTTGTTTGAACAGCTCCTTCTTATGCAACATTAAGCAAGATGCTTCACAGCATTGAATTCAAATGTTGATACAGATGCCCTTTAGCAACAGTGATGGCTCCGTGATTCTGGGTACTCAGCAGGGCTTTGTTTCATTGGTTATGGCTACGTAATACCAAAAGACTGTCATTGAACAAAACGCAAGGAATACATAGATTTGGAACATTCATTCGCAGGTTCCACAAGAAAATAATGTGGGTAAAGCAAAACCCCCAAGTCTGTTCGGCAGTCTACTTTGCAATTTAGATCAGAAAAAAGAGTGAGCTTTCCAGCTAATCAACGGCCTCCACTCAGCTAGTATCCTCTACCATTGTTGGCGCATTTGACAAGAACACTAGAATTATCAGCTTGGTGTAAATTCTTACATGAATCCACTTACTTTGGACTGACAGCTGGCCAACGTGCAGCACATGCCGAGCTTGCTCCATAACTGCAGCAGCTCGAGGACCCAGAGCCACCATTGACTCTAAAAGCCGAAGTTAGCAACTATTATCATTTGCAGACCACTTGGTGCTATGCAAGAAAGATTTGAACATGCAGCCCTGATACTAAAAGGGCAAATGGAAAGGAAAACTACTCACTGATAGATGTCACCGACATGATACGTTCCGCGTACTTGGGTACAAAAACCGCAATATTTTCCAGCACTGGCTCCGCTTTGGGACGTACAACCAGTGTTGTAGGAGCAAGCGCGGGCTATGAGTGTATCGGGCCCATCACGGGGTGTAATGGCGCTTCCTTCCTTGAAACCAGCCTCTGGAACTGGCTCCGCAATCGGCTCGGGCAGGGCAAGGGAAAGGGGCAGGAGAATGAGGAGTGATGTAAGCTTGAACTGCATGATGAAGCTTTTTTATTTGGCCAGTTTGAAGTAAGTCTGTAATATGTCGTTAGATTGATGATCGAAAATCAGGTTTTGATGTGAGAATGGACGCTTATATAGGCATTAAGCCTTTATTCAGCGGTGCTAGACATTCCAAGCATATAATCTTCTGGGAGCATTGTGGCCAGCGCATGAAAGCCAAACGTCACAGCATTTTCCTATCAAAAGGTGCAGTTTACCTGTCGACGACAAGTTCTGCCGCGTTCTTAATATTCTGTACTTGAGCCTGCTGATCAAAGTTGCTGAATTTTGAGCATAAAGAATCAGGTCTATCACCTGCATGCAGATCCTTTTCTTCTTCTCTTGAGGCTTTTGAAATCTTGGGGCCCCGCTCTCTCCCTTTTCGATGACGGAAACAAATTCTCAAGCCGTCTTGGCCTCTTGATATTTTAGTTCAAGATTCAACGAGATTCTTAGGGCTAGTTTGGATATAAAATCCGTGCTGAATTCGCTGAAATAATCTGTACTTTGTGTTATCGCGGATTCTGTGATGATATTAATCTGTTTTAAAAAGAGCGGATTATTAATTTGTGATTTTATAGTTTGGATATCAAATTTGTCAAATAATTTATGGTTTTTTTAGAATATTCAATTTAAATTTCAATTTGATATTAAACCTTATATTTAAAATTGAGAATTATATAAAAAGCTTTAATAAAGTAATGATCTTGAAAAAATGCTTAGAATTGGAAAAGAAATATATTTTGATTTTATCTTTCTTCTTTTTTTTCTTTTCAAAAAAAGAACCTTTTTTTGAAGTATTTTTGAAGCTATTTTCTATATATAAAATTATTTCAATAGCCAATAATGCAATCATTACTTAAAACACTTCGAAAGCATCTAGGAAATCGAAAATTATTAATGATAATAGCAATCGAAGATTTATATCTATACGAAAAAGAGGTAGAAGATTTCGAACTCGAAGTCTTTCTTCCCCAATTCATTATTTCAAACAAAAGCTTAAACCTATAGTAAAAGTAACCGAATCTCAAAGCCAACTTCGAGATTATAATACCTCCTTCTTTTCTCTCATTAGAGATTTACTATTCAACTCTTTTTACAATAACAATACCACCTTCAATTAAAAAAAGATACTCTCTATAAAAAAGAAAAGCTATATATAGATATTTAATTCAAATAAAGCTTATTTTAATTATATTAATTTATAATATATAGCAGGATTCCAAAATTGATAAGAGGCTTTCAACAAATATCGATATAGATAGTGATAAGAATAATAATAATGAGAGGGATATTGATAATAGCTATAATATCAATCAAGACCCAAACATAACATTTATAATAATTCAGAAAATAAAAAGAACCTTTTTACTAATACTATTAAAAGGAAGGATAAATCAGTAGATTCGGAAATTGAGATTGAAGATATTTTAAAGAAATCTATGAATTAATTCAAATAGAAACTCTATAAAAAGCTTCTTTTAAACTTAATACAAAGTTATCTACAAAAGATTAATCAACAATCAGATCAATTCATTAAATAAAGAATACTTTATTATAATCAATTTACATAAGCTATTACTTTAGAATATAAGATACACACTAATAGTAATAAGAATCTAACTAATAATCAAATTAAAAAGAAAATCAATTTGATATAAACATCCTCTTTTTTTATTGTTTATTTGATCTAATTGATTTGATTTAGATTAAGGAACGTTATGTAGAGTATCGGTATCTTTTTAATCTATCTGGTTAAGGTATTAGATTCAATAAAAAGAACAACACTATATAGCCTTATATACCTAATCATCTATAGAAAACGCTTCTATAAGCAAGTAAAACTAATAATCAAAAATATCATTGGCATTGAAGTTACTATACAGAAAGCTGGTCGATTCTTCAATTTCTATTCGAAACTTGTATAGTTAGTAGTAAATTTGCATATTACCCTACAGCTTTAATATAACAAATAATTATTTCTTTAGATAAGAAGAATAATCTTGCTGATTCAATATACTCTATACCTTTCTCAGATAAAAACGCTAAAAGATGAAATAAATATAGCTCTGGGATATACAAGATAAGGAATTCATATTTTTGAGATGTATTTTATTATTAACTGATTTATAATTAGAAACAGAGCGATATAAATAATCTATTGTAAACTACACATTATTGAAAAGGCCTCGAAAAACTATCTCTTCTGAAATTATAGATAGTTTATTTTATATTAATGAATCTTTAAGAGATTTTAATAAATCGAAAAACTATTCTAATGTCTTATATACTCAAATCGACAATCTACTGTTTCTTTGATATTAAGTATACTATATAATCACACAAAAACTATCCTAATAAATATAAGTCCCTAAAGGCTGATATTGCTTTTAAGCTTGTTGATTTCTTATAATATCCAGTGTCTGGTGTTTTGCCAATTTTATAGTAAGTTGCTGATGTTTATATATATAGGCTTATTTCAAGTAGAGTTTGTGAATAAGATCTATAAAGAGCTTAAAGAGTAGTACGAAAAGGAAAATAATGAAATGCCTCTATTATCCACTCCTTTATAACAAGCTTTAAATAAAGGGTGACTTCCAAGTTCTAATAGCTTTTGATTTAGCAATTCTATTTATTCTATTCTCTTTATTATATGTTTTTATCAATATAACCTTTGTATTTATTCAATTAGATATTAATATTATATCTTTCAATACCTTTGTCTTATTTGATATTAACAATATATGAGTACGAATAACATCTATTCACCAGCCCTAGGTATATGAAATAAAGAATATAAGTATGTAATAACTGGCTAGTAAGAAATGGCAAGTGAGAAACAGCTGGTGAGAAACGGCTAATGAGAAATGGCTAGTGAGAAACAGCTAGTAAAAACGGCTAATAAGAAAACTATAAAGTTTAGCCTCTCAAGATATAATATCCACTAATAACAGGGGTTGCCAGCTCCATTATTCTTCGAAGAAAAATGCTATCTATATCTTTAATAGTTTGCCTCTTTGTATGAAATGCACAATGTTGTAATACTATAAATTAAATCAATAATCTACTCAATTGATAAATAGAAAGGATAGAAAATGTACTCTCAAAATGAGTAACTATAAAGGATTCAACTACCTCTTGAATTGCTATAAGAATAGCAGCATTCCATTTCCAACACTTTTTATTAAGTGCAAATTGATCCGAAATCTCTTTAACTAAATATTGAAAAGGGGCTTTTTTTCAAGAGTAATTCGGTTGATTTTTGATACTTTTTAATCTCTTGTAATGCAACTGCTATATTTAATTAGTAAAAAAAAAGCTTAGAAATCAAGAAAAGGTTTACTTACTCTCCGCTTTCTATCAGTAAGCTCTTTTAGCAATTTCTGCTTTTCCTTTTTTAGATTACTTTCTTACACTTTGAACCTTTGTTTTCAAAGCTTTTTTTACACTTTTATTTTTAAAAAAAGGTAATCTTTTATTTATACCTAGCTTTTGTTTATTTATTAATCTCTTTTTGATATTAGTATGTAATATAGCTTCCCTATGTAATATATTTGTAGTTTATATTACAGCTATAGGATTTCCTAGAATATAGTGTTTTCAAGGCTTAGATTTGAATCATTTCAGTTTATTGTAAAAAAGGTTTCAAATATTCAAAAAGTGCATATCTAAAAAGCTTCAAGAATAGGGGTGAAAGGAATAAGCATTGAAAAATTAAATGTTTAGAAATATGTATTTATGAATTAATATATCATATATCATGTAATTCAATTAATCATACTATTTATTTCTTATAGAATATAGTTATTCCGAATACAAAAATATTATAAATAATATAAATAATGTGCTTTTAGAAACAACAATAACAATAACAATAATAAATGTTATATTTATAATATTGAATCTCTTCTAAGCTTCAAAGAATCAAAAAGATGCCAGTAGTAATTAAATCTAATAAGAAGAAGTTATAGAAAAAGTAAGAAAAATATTTGCAAAAGCGAAAAACTAGAAATATATATAATCAAAAGGCAAGAATAATATCTAAAAAACTAGAAGTCGAAAAAGAGAAAGATAGGAAAAAGTATTAGATTTTCTATACTTTGAAAGTGCTTTGTAAAACTTCTGATTTTTTAAAGATATCGAAGAATAGATAAGATAAAATGATTATACAAACTCGATTGAATATCAAAATGCAACAATCCTAGTATGTGAATCTAAATGAAAAATCTGATTTTAATTAATTTTATTTAGAAAAGTGTTGAAAGCAAAAAACCTTATTTAAAATAATGATAATCTTGTATTAGAATCTGAATCAGATGATTCCGAAATAGATTTTGAGGGTTGAGAAATCGATATTAATAAAAAAGAGGAAAAGAAAAAAAGAAATTTGATAATAAAGAAAAGAACAATAAAGTTAGAGAATTTGAAAAGATTAATTTAAAAGATTTGAATATTAATTAAGAATTAAAATAAGTATGAAGGTGTAATATTTATTGATTCTATAAATACTAATATATAAGTTTAGGTAATTAGACTTTCTGGGATTTTGATTTAAATTAAAGCTTGGAAAACTAGTGTAAAGTAATTTATAATTATTTAAAGAATCTAAACAAAAAATTGATAAAGAATCTTCGGATTTTTTATAGATAAAAGATTGTTTAGATAGGTTTATTTTGATTTTTTTTATTAACTATTTCTCTTTAGTTATTTCTTATTTACTATTCCTTATTTATTATTATATCAAATTATTAATATATTAATAGAGTATATTTGTATTCTAATAAACTTTTTTATAAAATATTTAGTTATCGACAATATATTATTTAGAGAAATCTTGCTTTTTGAAGCTTTGATATTTTGAAGCTAAAGGGAAAGAGTGATATCAAGCTTCCTGGATCTGAAGAATAATGAACTTTTAATAGAACTATAATCCAAAAAGATATGGATTTTGGATTTCTAAAGATGGGGTAAGATATAAGCAAGCTTGGAATCTATTTTATTATATAGAATGAAAAAAAGATCTCTCTTAACTCCTTA